AAGCCCCGCATCGGGCATGGAGCCTGCTCAGGCCTCTGTCTCTCCCCCTCCCCACCACATTCCCTTTCTCTCCCTCCCCCCCTTCTCTATCCCTCTCTGTTCTCTGTCCTCCCCCAGGCACCACAGCTGCTCTCACTTGGTCCCCAGCCCTCAGGGTCACAGTCTCTGCAGGGGCCATCTCCCCGTCTCATACAGATGTGATGATACAGGGACAGGACACGGCAGGGACCGTAAGTCGGGCCTGGCTCTCAGCCTATCAGCGCCCCTTGTCCTGGATCTGTCACTGGACGTCAGCTCGTAACTCTGAACCCCTGCTTGGGCCTGGCGTATGGGGCGGCTCTAGGGCCTGCTCCCCATGCCCGCCTTTGGTGGAGAAGGCTGAGTCAGGTGTTTCTCCGGGCCCTCCAGGCCTCTGTTGCGCAGCCCGCAGCCCTGGCACGCACACCCACAGAGGTGAGGACAGGCGAGGCCTCAGGTAACCTGATGCCCCACGTCTGTCCCTCTGTCCGGAGAAGTCCTTGGGAGCCCAGCTCTTGTCCTGACCCAGTAGTGGTCTCCACAGGGAGGTGACCTCCAAATCGGCGAGATTGGTGCTTGGGCTCAGGTGGCCCTTCACGGGGCTCCTCCGGAGGGCGTGGTGTGGCGCCCACCCTCAGGCACACGCACGTTTGGGATTTTCTCTGACCACCTGCCTACTGAATCTCGTGAGGTGCAGCGGGCCAGGTGCATGAGGCGCAGTTGCCTTGTTTTGTCAAGATACTGATTGCTGGCGCCCGGGGCCGTGAACGTGGGGCGAATTGGGCATTTCTGTGCCCACAGTGGAGGGCCGATGGGGCCCGCCCAGGGTGTGGGTCTTTGCTCCTGGCTTTAGGGCAGGGAGAATGTTTATGACTTTCCTGTGGCTGCTGTTCTCTTAGATTTTTGGGTGATTTCCCAAGTAATTTCTCAGGAGGCACTGAGAAAGCCTTAACTTTGGAATAATAACATAAATGAGCTGTTTCAGTAAAAGGCCATCCCCATGTGGGGGGGGGGGACCGCTGTGGCTGGGTGCTCCCTGCCCAGAAGTTCACTCTGAACCATGGGGTCCTCGTACCCTGGGACATGGGGAGGTAGGAGGTGTGTCTTTGCACACAGCGCAGCCAGGGGGCTGCTCCTGGGACCTTGGTTTCCACATATCCGGTGGCCCTTGTCAGGGCTGTAGGCGCCGGCCGTCAGAGCCCGAGTGGTGACACGCCAGTCGTGGGGGACCTGCTGGCATCAGGCCCTGGGTGGCCCTCCCGGGTGAGGGCCAGCCCCGAGGTGTCCTGGGCAGAACGAGGGATCCACGCCCCCACCTCTCTCTCTCCCTTTTAGCTTGGCCTCCCTACACAAAGCAGCAAGTGGCCAGCCCATCTTGGCTCCGGTGAGACCTGCTCGCCCAAGTGCTGGGGTACAGAAGGGGTGCCCAGGGCTGGGCAGGGGTGTTAGCATGCACGCCTTGTGACCCCGGGCCTCAGCTTCCCCACCTGCCATGCGGGTTCATGCGTGGGCCTTCCAGAGCACGATGGGGCCTCCAGACATGTGGGACCAGCAGGTGGTGGTTGGGTGGGGGGTGGTTCAGGGATGATGATTTCCCTCGCCTCGCCCAGCCTAGAACTCAGCTACCTTTCCCTCTGTGCACCTGACCCCTGACCTGTTGAAAGAGCTCCAGTCTGTGGGGCTGAGCTTGATAGTCTGACCTCAGACTCCTGTGTGCTGGCTCAGCTCCTTGTGTGTCCCTGGGATCCCCGTGGCCAGGCTAGGCAGCAGTACGTGTGGACATGGGGTGTGGACACGGTGGGTGTCGGTGTGGATGTGGGCTGTGGACTCTGGGTATAGATGCAGGATGTGGAATTGGGTTGTAGGCCTAGGGTGTAGACAAGAAGTGTGGACCTGGAGTGTGAACATGGGGTGTGGATGTGGGGTGTGGATTCTGGGTCCAATTTCTAGACCCAGTGGGTCCTGAACGCCTGCAGGGCTCTGCCTCTTCCTCACAGTGCTTGGCTCAGGTGTGGGAGATGGGGGCTCACACTGGTGTGGTCTCTGATGGATAAGCAAACTGAGGCCAGCTGGCCCAGGCCTGGGCTGCAGAGCAGACGCGGGGTGCGGAGCAGGGCCGGGGTGCAGAGCAGATGTGGGGTGCAGAGCAGACATGGGGTGCAGAGCAGGGCCAGGGTGCAGAGCAGGGCCAGGGTGCAGAGCAGACGCGGGGTGCAGAGCAGATGTGGGGTGCAGAGCAGACACGGGGTGCAGAGCAGGGCCAGGGTGCAGAGCAGGGCCAGGGTGCAGAGCAGACGCGGGGTGCAGAGCAGGGCCAGGTTGCAGAGCAGGCCCACGGTGCAGGGTCCTTTCTGTGGAAGGCAGGGGTGTTGGGGGCTGGGAGGGAGGGAGCAGAGGGGTCAGGCAGGTACACCAGCCTGGGGGGTGGGGGTTGGGAAGGGGCTGGGTGAGCAGCTACTCCTCCTTGAGGGTGGGGAGGAGCTGGGGGTTGGGGGTTGAGGACACAGGAGGGAGCAGCTGCTGGTGGGAGGGGACCTCGGGGCTCTGGTGGGGCAGGGGGTTGCTGTGGAGACAGACCAGTGGTGATCTGGCCGTTTGCTCTCCTCACTATGCCTCCCACCTGCAGCGTTACCAGCTCAGCATGTCTGGTTTGGTGAATTTGCTGGGTGACTAATGGCGGTAATGTGGTCCTTTCGGGGTGGTTAGTGGGGTGGGGCATCTTTCTCCGTAGCCTTGTGCTTTCGCGGAGGAAATGCTCTTCATGCACGGTTCCTGGAGGGAGGGTAGGAACGCTCCTGTACTTGCTGTAAATGTTTTCCGAAGTTGGCACTTCAAAGTTGGCTGTCGGATGGGAGCCCTGTTTCAGTCCATCAGTGTTCTCTCTGATTTCCTTTGCAATTCTTTGCTTGTTTAGAAAGTCACTTTGCATCGTGAGAGCAGATGAATATACCCTCACAGTCTGCTTCTGATGGCTTTGTCTTTTACATCCGACTCTTCAGACTGCCTGCACTTTGGTTCGGCGTTTGCTCTGAGATGAAGAGTGAACTTCATATTTCCAAAAGCATGTGTTAGGGGCTTTTTGGGCTCCGGCTCTGCTCCTGGGACCGTGGCATGTGGCAGCCGGTGGTCCATCGAGGGCCCTAGAGCTGCGGTGGCTGACCCTGGCCAGGGGACCAGGGGACACAGGGAGGAGGCGCTTGGGGTCTGGGCACACAGCTCACCTCGTACGACAGGTGCGTGGTGACCCTCCCGTTACTGCAGGGTTGTTGCTGGAAGATTCATGTAGGGTTCTTGATGTTGCCGCAGGCGGAACGAGCGCTCGGCCAGCCTTAGTGAGGACGGGGTCAGTGGTGGGGGATGGGTGCCCCTGTCACGAGGCATGTTCCTTGTCTTTTGATTGAGATAAAATTCACATAACATAAAACTAGCCATCTTAAAGTGAGCACTTCATTGGCATTTAGTACCTTCACACTGTTGTGCAAACATGGCCTCTATCCTGTTCCAGAACATTTTACCCCAAACGGAGACCCCACGCCCACTCAGCAGTCACTGCTCATTCCCCTCCCACAGCCCCTGGCACCACCAGGGGGTCCTCTGTCTGTGCATTTCGCGTGAATGGAATCCTGCAGTATGTGACCTTGTGTGTCTGGGGTCCATCGTGCTGTAGCAGGTGTCGGCCCCTTTCCTGTTAAGGCTGGGGACCGCTCTGTTGCATGGATGCACCACAGTTGGTTTGTCCATCCGTCAGCTGGTGGACCTTGGATGGTTTCCGTCTTTTGGTTATTGGGGCTGATGTTGCTGCGAACACTTGCGTGCAGGATTTGTCGGAGGCCCTGCTCTGTATTCTTTGGGGCGCACGTGCCCAGAGTGGGATTGCGGGGTCATAGGGTAAGTCTCTGTTTAACTTGCTGAGGAGCCGTCAGACTATTTCCATAGAAACTGTCCACTTTTACATCCTCACCAGCGATGGAAGAGGGCTCTCGTTTCCCTCATCCTGGCCAGCACTTGCAATTTTCCTGGTGTTGTTTTCTTGTAAAAACTGTAGCCATCCTAGTGGGTGGGGGGTGGTATCTCGTTGGTTTGGATGTGCCTTCCAGTGACATCCACACGACTAAGAATGTTGAGCATCTTTCCTGAGCTTGTTGGCTGTTTGTACCTCATCTTGGGAGAAATGTCTGTTCGAGGCCTTTGCCCGTTTAAAAGCTGGTTTGTGCATCTCCCGGTCCTTGAGCTGTGAAGCTCTGTGTGCATTCCAGATGCTCGGCCCTCATCAGAAACGTGATTGGCAAATACTCTCTCCCGTCCTCCATGTTGTCTTTTCACTTTCTTCCTAGTGTCCTTTAGTGAGCAAAAGTTTTACGTTTTGATGATACACAATTTGATTTTTCTTTTGTTGCTTGTATTTTTGGTGTCCTATCTGGGAATCCATGCCCAGACCCAGGGTCATGAAGATGTGCTCCTGTGTCCTCTTCTTACCCTCTTATAGCCTTAGGCCTTATATTTAGGTGGTTGACCCATTTTTAATTTTTGTATATGATGTGAGGTAGGGATTCGACTTCAATCTTTTGATATCCTGTTGTCCTGGCACCGTGGTATGGCCCCCTGGGGTGGTGGTCCCTTGAGAGGTCAGAGGGCCTGACCCATAGCTCTGAGCTGCCCCTGGTGACGTGGTGGGGGCAGCCCCCCTCCGAGACCCCCTTGGCCCCCCCGGCTCTGTGGCGACAGGACAGTGGTGGCTCTCATGCAGGCAGGCCTGTGGGACGGCCCGTCCCTCTGCGTAGCCTGGTCATGCCCAGCAAGGCCTTCCTTGCCCCTCCCTCCCCCTCCATGCCCCCTCCTGTCCTTGTGGGCCGCTGTCCTGACTCCTGTCGTGTTTTGCCTGTGAGCATGCTGCCCCCCTCCTGAGAGGTGGACAGGAGCTGCCTGGGTCCCACAGGGGAAGGCCCCGGGGACTTGCAACATCTGTGCTTCCTCCGTTTCAGCTGTGTGGGAGTAGAAGAGGAGGAGGCCCCAGACATCGACATATACCACTGCCCGAACTGCGAGAAAACCCACGGGAAGTCTACCTGTAAGTACAGGGCCATGCTGCCACCCCTGAGCTCTGATCAGCCCTGGCCTGGCCTGCTGGGTGAAATGCCCAGGTACTTGCACCCTGCTGCCTGGGGACCACTGCTGGCCTTGCTTACTGCCCCTATGGACTTGTCACGACAGCCCCACCTGGCTGGCTGCAGCTGAGGCCACTTGGCCTGTGCAGAGACCCCACTGACTTCCAAAGGCCAGGCAGGGGCCTCACATTCCAGCACCTTCTGGGGCCAGGCCCATCCGAGATGGGGACACCATGCTGCAGCTGTCCAGGAGGCTGCCCAGCCCTGCCCGCCGCCACGCCGGGTCTGGCAGTGCCCATGTTGGGGATCTGCTGTCCCTTCTCTGGTACCGCCTGCAGGGAGAGTCCCTGTCTCAAATGCCTGCTGGTCCCTTGGGGGCATCCTGTGGGGGCTCCTTGGGAATAGGCTCATCCAGTGTGGCTCCATGGGGGGCTCATGTCCCTGCTAGGAGGTGAGTTCCAAGGCTGAGCCCTTGTAGGGGGTGTACTCTGGTCTGCAGGTTCCTTGGCGGGGGCGGCTGGCCTGGGGGCAAGACAGATGGCGTGGGGGTGTTAGTGTGGCCTCTGGTTTCTGGCCTGGGTTGAGGGGCATGGGTGCTCATAAAAGGTGTAGTTTGGACGCTAACCCTGGCTGGGTGGCTGATCACAGCCCTGTCATCCTGAGCCCTGGGTTGGCTGGAGGAGTGTTGGGGGGGGGGACCAGAGCTGGCCCCAGGGCACCAGGAGTCCTGTCACTCCCCTTCAAAGGGAGCCTCCCTCCCAGTGTCCATTCACAAGGCTCCTGTGGGGTGAGTCCTGTGGATCCAGTGGGGGTCGAGGGAGGGTGCCAGCACCCCTGTTCTGTGGAGGCTGGCCACGCCCCCGCCACTCGGGAAGCTGGGTGAGGCAAGTGGGGCGTCACCTCCCCTCCTTGCCTCCCTTTGTTCCTGGCCTGTGTACCGTCATCACTGAATGATGGGGCTGCACTGGTTCAGCTCTCATCCTCCAGCCCCCAGCGCATGGTCATCATGCAATAAAGCACCGCCAAATTCGTGAGACCAGCAGCAAGGTTCTTGGGCTCCTAACTTACCGCATAGGCCCAGGAGCTGGCAGTGCTGGTGCTCAGGATGAGTCTGCTGTGATTACCCAAAGAGCACTCTGCTCCCTGCTTTACAGCAGGTACACGTGGATGACGGTCGCTGTAACACCTTATGAGCCACGGGGAAAGCTCAGGGCTGGTGGGGGTCAACAGGTGGGGGCTGGGGTTGCACCATGTGGCCCTGGGGCAGGGCCAGGGACAGAATGGGATTGGAGCTAGGAGACCCCACCTGTCCCCACAACAGGGCTGAGCGTCCTGATGGAGGGTGGGGCAGCCACTGTGGTCTGGGCTCTTGCATGAATTTGGGCTCAGGTTGGGCTGCAGTGGGGTGCTGAGGTCGGTGTTGGTGTTCACACATAGTGTGACCTCTCCAGTATCTCTGCCCATCCTGGAAGCACCTTTCCCTGACCATGAGCTTGCCCACTGGTGGAGGTACATGTGCCTACTGACTGAGACCCTGCCCCTGAGCTGGGGGTCCCCACTGCCTGGTATTGCTGCTCAAAGCCAAGTGCAGGCAACTTATGCCCAGCCACCCCCAGGGCATGTGGGGACTGCAGCTTGGTGGGAGCCAGCAGCCCCTCCCTGGCTGTGTGTGTGTGCACGTGTGCATGTTATGTATATATATATGTATGCATGAGTGTGTGCACAGGTGTTTGTGTGTGCATCCATGTGCACAGACACGTGCATGTGCTCAAGGAGGGACACGTGTGCGTGAGTGTCCATGTGTGTAGACACGTGCATGTGCATGAGCGTGGATGTGTGTTTGCATGTGCTTCCGTGTATATAGACACGTGTGTGCATGAGTGTGGACATGTATTTGTATGTGTGTCCATGTGTATAGACACGTGTGTGTGCACAAGTTTGGACATGTGTGCATGAGTATCTGTGTGTGCACAGATGTGCGTGGACACATGCGTGTCTGCACAGACACATGCGTGTGCACAAGTGTGAACATGTGTATGAGCATCTGTGTGTATAGACACGTGTGTGCATGAGTGTGGACACGTGCGTGTGTCCATGTGTATAGACGTGTGTGTGCATGAGCGTGGACACGTCGTGAGTGTGCACGTGTGCACAAGTTGATGCTCGTGTGTGTGTGTGTGTGTGTGCGTGTGCACATGTGCTTCATAAATCCTGTGAATTGGGCTTTCCCTGCTGTTACTGGAGGCTGCGTGGCCATTGTGGACAGAGGTGTGGGAACTAGCGTTTCCCGCCAGGGTGCGTGCCCACAATTGTGTGTCGCTCTGCCCTTGAATTGGGTCTGTGTCGCTGTGACACACCGGTCAGTTTGCCGCGTCTGCCCCAGTCAGGCGTTGCACGGTGAGGAGCTTCATTGTGCCCACGTCCCCCTGCATGGGTTTGTGGTGGGCACACTGAAGTGAGGTCGGGGGCCTACCCACTCACCCAATTCACACAGAGTTGGGGCCTGAGGGTCCCCAGGGAACTCGGCACGGAGTCCGCACCGACGGGAAGGCGCGCAGGCTTGGGTGGCCCTGAGAGCAGTTCTGACCCCAGTGCGCCTGCTTTGGGCGCTGCTTCCCTGACCGCCCACACCCCTCCTTCCTGGGGCCCCTGTAGCTGTGGTGTCCCGAGGGCACCTGTCACCCCACAGCCCGGGCTCTTGTGGGGCCGAGGTCTCCAGGGTGCCTCGTCAGGGACACACAGGCAAGAGGACCCTTGGCGTCGGGGCTCAGGATGTCCTGGGCCCCGGGGGGGAAGGAGCACACCAGCCAGGGCTGCACAGGGAGCCCCGGGACGTTCACCCTGCCTCCCTTGCGGCTCTGTGTTGGGCTCTTGTCCCAGCCCTGAGCTTTAGCCGCAGTGTCCTCGAGCTGCTCTCGATGCCCCGTCCCGAGTGAGGGCCCAGGAAGACCAGCAGCCGTGGGCAGCACTGCTTCCCAGGCCCAGCCCCTGGCAGACCTGTGGGGTGCTGCTTTCTCACACTGCCCTTTCCACTCGCGTCCCTGGCCCCCGGCCGCCCTCCAAGACTCAGTTTCCCCACATGACGTCCTGGGCCAGGGCCCTCCTGCTGGGCCTCTGCGTCCTCGGGCCTCTGCACACCTTCCGTGGGGGGACCTTGGGAAGTGGGGTGAGGGGCAGATGCAGGGGCCGGCATTGGAGGACTTGGGGGGCCCAAGTGGGGTCCTCTGCTGCCCCCCAGACTGCACAGTGATGCCTGTCTCTCTGCTGGCCTCCCCTCCCTGTGGCCTGGGCTTCCCCTTTTCCTTCTCAAGGTCCTGGACGTGCTGGACCCCTCATAAGTGGGGGCGCCCCAAGGGCCAGGCTCGCCTCCCACTGGGGGAAGGCAGGGAGGCCCCTCCTGGTGTGGGCAGCTGATTGCCGAGGCCCACGATGCTCCTCTGTGGCCATATGCACGGCTACCCTCCCTCCTCAGGCCCTTCAGTGGAAGCTCCTTAGAGACTCTGGAGCCCCGTGCGTGTGAGGCGGGCCGGGCTCACGTCTTGAGGCAGCTGCAGGCCCAGCAGAAGGGATGATGACGTGGAGACTGGTTTCAGAGTCAGGGTGACCGGGGCCATCGTCAGGGTGGTGTCCCCGTGCCCTGCCTTGGCCTTGGGCACCCCCACCCCCGGCCTGAGCCTGTTGGGCTCCTTGGGGAGCAGAGATGACTCCCAGGCCACCTGTGGCTTTGGCGACCCCCGTGCAGAGCTGGGCTGCTCAGCGGGACTGAGGGGCCAGTGCAGCACCCAGGAGACCTGCCATTCACCACCCACCCCCCCGTGCCCACTGGTGCCAGGCCGTGCCAGGCTCAGTGGGCTCGAGGGGAGAGCTTGGAGGTCTGGAGCAGGACTGAGCCCTGTGAACAAGGGCCTGCAGCCCAAGCAGCCTTGCCAAGAGGAGGGGCCATGCTTGCAGTGTGCCACCCAAGATCTCCTGGGGCAGGTTGGGCGCCACATGTCATTTGCCTCCTGTGGCTCACGAGGAGTCCAGGAGGTCAGGACTAGTCCCTCTCTATTGAAGATGCAGCACAGAGATGCCCAGTAACTTGCCCAAGGTCACACAGTGACAAAATGGGGGGCAAGAAAGATTTGGGCAGGTGCCCGGGCCCTTCTGATCTTCCATCTGTGCCTGGTGCCGCCAGAAGCCCCAGCTTGGAGGGCTCCCTTTGCAGGATCTTGCCAGGTTTCGATAACGTCTGCTCAGACCTGGCCATGGCAGACCAAGCATGACTGAGATAGTGCGCCATTGTTGGAGACAGTCTCAGGGGTCTGTGACTGGACGGGAGGTGGGGAGGGGTGGCATCCTCCTCTCCGTCCTTGTCTGTGAAGGACAGGCATCCAGAGGGCCAACTCGCAATCCCTCACCTCCGGTCTCCTCCAGCCTGTTGCAGACCCGCCCGGCAGCCTCCGGGGACAGGTCTCCGCACCAGTGCTGTCCTCACTGCCCTCAGTCCGAACTCCCAGTGGTTGCCCTGAGCGGGGGTGGGGGCCACAAGGCAGTCACTTCCCTCCCTTCCTGGGCTTGCGGTCCCGTGGGGGGAGTGAGTGCGTGTGTGTATGGGTGTGCACACGCGCTTGTGCACGTGCGTGCAAATGTGTCACATCCAGTAGGGGCATGTGCACCCACTTGCATGTAAAAAGTCCACCGTGGGGGGGCCAGTGTCCTGGGCGCACGCGCGAGGACAGGAGAGTCAGAGGGAGCAGGCAGGATGGAAGTTTGCAGGGGTGGGCACACCGGGGAGCATGAGGTGTGCATGCTAGGGGTGAGGAGGGCAGAAGCTACAGTGGGAAGCGCCAGCCTGCCTGTGCCCCAGCTGTGGGCTGTTGGGGCAGCAGAGGTCCCAGCAGACTGGGTGCCAGTGGAAAGGCCACTAGGCACCCTAGCTTCTGGGTATGGTCACTGAGCCAGAGGCTTGGCAGGTGCAGGGCGAGGGTGGGTGGGGAGGTTACAGGGGTTCGGGAGGCGGGTGGGCCGGGTCCCCAGGGGACCTCAAGGGCTTTGCCTCCAGGGAGGCTTGAGTCAACAAGGAGTTGATGGCTCCTTGGCTGCCCTCCCAGCTGGGTCCCTGAGCTGCCCCTGTCTCCCCACAGTGAAGAAGAAGAGGGCCTGGCACAAACATGGCCCGGGGCAGACGCCCGACGTGAAGCCTGTGCAGAATGGCAGCCAGCTCTTCATCAAGGAGCTGCGGAGTCGGACCTTCCCCAGGTGGGCGGCAGCGGCCTCATCCTCCTGGGGCTCAGGGGCATGGCCTTCCCTCCAGGGGAGTGGCGCAGCCCCCCCGAAACCCTAGGCACCTTTGGCTCTGCGGCCGGCCTCTCCCTTCTTAGCACTTGCAGACACAGGTGCTGGGGACCCTCTTCCTCTGGGCACATCTAGCTCCCCCACCTGGGGTGGCCCTTTGCATGGAGCCTTCCTGAGGGACAGGCTGCTGTCCTCAGGTTATGTCCAGTTGAGCAGCGGGGCCTGGGGTCCTGCTTAAGACCACCCTCCAGACACGGCAGCCCCCAGCCCCCATGGGCCCGGGCTTTCCTCTCTGCCCCTGGGCCTGGCATGCTGTCCCTGGGTCCCCGTCTCAGGGTGCTCCCCGCTCCCACCTGTGTCCTGTGTGAGGGCGGAGGACTGAGGGCAGGGTCAGGGTCAGGGCTGTGGGGAACCGCTGCTGAGAAGCAGCACCTGACACGAGGACCTGTGTTCTTAAAGCTGCTCTGGGCCACCTCAGCCCTTCATGCCTGGAAGACTTTTTCTGTTTGTCTGACAATGTCTTTGTTTCTCCTCGACTTTTGAAGAGTAATTCACTGGACACAGAATTCTGCGTGGTGTTTTTCCTTTTAACAGTTCAAATATTTCGCTCCACTATCTTCTTGCATGCATGATTTCTGATAAGAAATCCAGTGTGACTCTTTACCTGTGACCCTGCGTGGAGAAGGTCCTTCCCTCCTCTGGCGTCTTTCTTTCCCTGAGATATAAGTCACATACCACACAGTCCACCTGTTTGAAGAGTACGATTTGGTGGTTTTTAGTGTATTCACAGATGTGGGCACCACCACCAGCCAATTTTAGAACATTTTCATCACCCCAAAGTTTTTACTTAATATTCTGTTTTATGGATGGACCACATTTTTTTATCCATTCATCAGCAGACACATTTGGGTTATTTCTGATTTTTGGCTACTGTGAATATTTCTGCTGTAAACATTCTTGTACAAGATCTTGTTGGACATATGTTTTCATGTTTTTAGGAGTAGCTCTGTATTCAGTTGTCTGAGGAACTGCCAGACCATTTTCCAAAGTGGTTACACCGCTTTCTGATCCCACCAGCAGAGCATGAGGGTTCCAGTTTCTCATCGCCCTTACCGGCACTTGTAATTACCTGGCACTTTGATTCTAACCATCCTTGTAGGTGTGAGGTGTTCCCTCACTCTGGTTTGATCCGCATTTCCCTAGTGATGAGTGATTTTGAGCATCTTTTCATGTGCGTGCCGGTCATTCGTATGTCTTCCTTGGAGAAATGTCAATTCAGACCCTTTAACTATTTTTAATTTTTTGTGTCTTTTTATTATTGAGTCATAAGAATTCTTTCCATATTTTATTTTATTTTTATTTTATTTTCTTTTTTAAAGATTTTACTTATTGGGGTGCCTGGGTGGCTCAGTCGCTAGGCGTCTGCCTTCGGCTCAGGTCATGATCTCAGGGTCCTGGGATCGAGCCCCACATCGGGCTCCGTGCTCGGCGGGAGGCCTGCTTCTCCCTCTCCCACTCCCCCTGCTTGTGTTCCCTCTCTCGCTGTCTCTTTCTCTGTCAAATAAATAAATAAAATCTTATTTATTTATTTGACAGAGAGAGTGAGAGAGCACAAACAGGGGGAACAGTAGAGGGAGAGGGAGAAGCAGGCTCCCCACCAAGCAGGGAGCCCGATGTGGGGCTCAATCCCAGGACCCTGAGATCATGACCTGAGCCGAAGGTAGACGCTTAACCATCTGAGCCACCCACACGCCTCTCTTTCCATATTTTAGAAGTCTCTTAACAGACATATGATTTGTGAATACTTTACCCTGTTTTGTAGACTTTTCACTTTCTTGGTTGTGTTCTTTGAAGCGCAAATGTTTGTCATTTTGATGGAGTCCAGTTTATCCATTTTTTATTTTGTTATTTGTGCTTTTGTTGTCATAGCTGAGGATCTTTTGCCAAGTCTAAACCCAACGTCATGAAGATTTATCCCTATGTTTTCTTCTAAGAGTTTTATAGTTTTTAGGTCTTATAGTTTGGTCTTGGATACATTTTGAGTTAATTTCTTCATATAGTGTGAGGTAAGGATCTAAATTTTTTTGAGTTAATTTCTTCATATAGTGTGAGGTAAAGATCTATTTTTTTTTTTTTTTTTTTGCATGTGGCTCTCCATTTGTCCCTGCACCATTTGTAAAAAGACAGTTCTTTTTCTATTAAATTGCCTTGGCCCTTAGCTATAAGTGTATGCATTTATTTCTGGACACTCAGTTCTGCTCCACTAATCTCTGTTTACCCTTAGGACAGTCTCCCACTGTCTGGATTACTGTGCTTTGCAGTATGTTTTGAAATGAAGAAGTGTTGAGTCCTTCAAATTTGTTTTTCTTTTTAAAGATCATTTTGGCATTCTGGGTCTGTTGCAGTTCCATACAAATTTTAGATTCAGCTTGTCAAGTCTGCAGAGAAGTCAGCTGATAAGGATTATGGTGAATCTGTAGAGCAGTAGAGTCAGAGTATTGCCATCTGAAAAATGCTCAGTCTTCTAACCCATGGACATGGGTATTTTGCCATTTATTGAGATCTTTTAAATTTCCATCAACAGTGTTTTATAGTTTTCAGAGTATAAGTTTTGTACTTCTTTTGTTAAATTTATTCCTAAATTTATTCTTCTTGATGTCTTTTAAATGAAACTGTTTTCTTATTTCATCGCTACTGTACTGAAATACAGTATATGTTTGTATATTGTCTTGTATCCTGCAAACTTGATGAGCTAGTTTATTAGTTCTAATAACTTTTTAGTAATTCCTTACATCTTTCTATATATAGGATCATGTCATCTGCAAATAGGTCATGTTCTTTCTTCCCTTCCAATCTGTGTTACTTTTTTTTTTTCTTGCGTAATTGCTCTGGCTAGGATTTCTAGTAGACTGTTGAGTAGAAGAGGCTGGGCAGGGGGTGACCAGGGCCCCACTATTCTCAGGGTGCCACATTCAGGGTACGGGTTCAGTACCTGTGGGCCAGGTGGAAGAAGGGAGCCCCCATGTCTTGGCTGCCCTCACCCAACACTTAGAATCAGCCATAGACAGCTGGGGCCGGTTGAGAAAGGCTGCCCCCCTGTTCCTCCAGGAGGAAATCCCTCTGCCTGGAAGCTGGGGAGCCCTCCCAGTCAGCATTCCTGTGTCCTTGGCTGCAGCCTTCCAGAGGGGAGTCTCCTCACCAAGCCAGGGAGGTGAAGGGAGGAGTGGTCACAAACTCTTGCCTTTCCTACCAAATTTTTGTAGATTTTCTCTACTAGATGTTCCTTCATTTGCTGTTTGCTCTTAGAATCATTTCCAGAGGTTTTGAATGTTTTTCAAAAATAATTTTTACCAGTTTCGCCGGGGTGTGGGTCAGTGGAGCTCTTCACACTGTTATGGCAGAAGTAGATCTTGCTCATGTGGCCTTTTTCAAGATACTGTCTTTCATTTTTTGCAGTTTGATTATGACATGCCTACAAATAGTTTGGGGTCTTACCCTGCTTGGTGTTGTTTGCGTTTTCTGGATCTGTGGTTCCATGTCTGCCATTATTTTTAGACAGTTCTCAGCCATTATTGCTTCAACCATTTCTTCTGCTCCTCTCTCTCTTTTCTTTCTGGGATTCCCAACATGCATATGTTACTCTTTCTGCAGTTGTTCTCCACTTCTTGGCTATCCTATTCCCTGCTTTTTTCATTCTTTTTTTCTCTTTGCATTTCAGGTTGGGCGGATTTTATTGACTTAACTTCTAGCTCACTGATTCTTTTCTTAGCCATGTCCATCAAAGGCATTCTTCATTTCTGTTACAGTTTTCAATTATTTTTATCATTTACTTTTGGTTCTTAGAGCGTCCACTTCTCTACTTACATTTCCCTTCCGTTCTTGCATGTTGTCCACTTTTCGCACTAGCACTCCTAACATATTAATCATAATTTTTTTAAAGATTTTATTTATTTATTTGACAGAGAGAGACAGCGAGAGAGGGAACACAAGCAGGGGGAGTGGGAGAGGGAGAAGCAGGCTTCCCGCGGAGCAGGGAGCCCGATGTGGGGCTTGATCCCAGGACTCTGGGACCATGACCTGAGCCGAAGGCAGATGCTTAAAGACGGAGCCACCCAGGCGTCCCTTAATCATAATTTTTTTAAAAGTTTTATTTTATTTTATTTTTTAAAGATTTTGTTTATTTGAGAGACAGAGAGAGCACACACATGCGTGAGTGGTGGGGAGAGGCAGAAGAGGGAGAAGCAGGCTCCCCACTGAGCAGGGAGACCGGCACAGGGCTCGGTCCCAGGACCCTGGGATTGTGACCTGAGCCAAAGGCAGATGCCCAACCGACTGAGCCCCCCAGGCGACCCGGTGTTACAAACTTCCACGTCTGATAATTCCAAATTCTGTCCTATGTCTGAGCTGTGTTCTGATATTTTTTAAACTTTTTATTTATTTTTTAATTGTAGTATAATTAACATGCAGTGTAATATTATGTTAGTTTCAGGTGTACAAGATAGTGGTTCAACAATTTTTTTAGAAAATTTTATTTGAGAGAGCGAGTGAGCACATGAGCAGGAGGAGGGGCAGAGGGGGAGGTAGAGGGAGAGAGAGAATCTCAAGCAGACTCTGTGCTGAGCCCGGAGCTGGACTTGGGGCTTGATCTCATGACCCAGAGATCATGACCTGAGCCGAAACCAAGAGTCGGATGCTTAGCGGACTGAGGCACCCAGGCGCCCTGTGATTCAACAATTCTATACATCACTTCGGTGCTCATCAGGATAAGTGTACTCTTGAGCCCTCTCCCCTATTTCCCCCATCGCCCCACTCACCTCCGCTCTTGTGACCATCAGTGTGTTCTCTGTACTGAAGAGTCTGTTTCTTGATTTGCCTCACTTCTTTTTCCTCCCTATGTTCATTTGTTTTTTTTTAAATTCCACATATGAGTGAAATCATATGGTATTTGTCTTTCTCTGACTGATTTCACTGAGCATAATGCTCTCTAGATCCATGTATGTCATTGCAAATGGCAAGATTTCATTCTTTTTTTTTTTTAAGATTTTATTTATTTGACAGAGAGAGAGTGAGAGCAGGAACACAAGCAGGGGGAGTGGGAGAGGGAGAAGCAGGCTTCCCGTGGAGCAGGGAGCCCAATGCGGGGCTCAATCCCAGGACCCTGGAGTCATAACCTGAGCCGAAGGCAGACGCTTAATGACTGAGCCACTCGGGTGCCCAAGATATAATTCTTTTTTATGGCTGAGTAATATTCCATTGTGTATATACACCACATCTTCTCTATCCATTCATGTATGGATGGACACTTGGGCTGCTTCCATCTCTGGGGTATTGTGAGTAATGGTGTTATAAACATAGGGGTGCATCTTTTTGAATTAGTGTTTTCATTGTCTTTTGGTGAATACCCAGTAGTGGGATTACTGGATCATATGGTATCTCTATTTCTTATTTTTTAAGGAATCTCCATACTGTTCACGGTGGCTGCACCAGTTTGCATTCCCACCAGCGGTGCATGAGGGTTCCCGTTTCTCCACATCCTCACCAACACCTGTTATTTCTTGTCTTTTTGATTTTAGCTATTCTGACAGGTGCGGCGTGATTTGCTTTGTTTCTTTACACTATGGATTTCTTGTCTTTTAGCGTGTCCTGTGACTTTTGTTGAAAGCTGGACATGATGTATCAAGTCAAATGAACTGAGATACTTATGCATTTAGAGTGAGGTTTCGTGTTGACCTGACTAGGGACTAGGCTGTGTCCACTGTGGCTGTAGGTGCCAGACACATCACTTTCTCGTAGTTACCTTGTTTTTCCCTCCTCTCCTGTTTCTTTGGGCTTCCCTAACAACTCCTTCTTAGATGGAATCTGTCTTGCAGCTCTCTCAATTATGCTCAGCTGTTATCTGTTACATGGTTTGGGGAGGGGAAGTATTCTACAATTGAATAGTAAACCTCAGTGCTTCAGTGGGCCTGAGGCTCTGGGCTGTTACCTTTGGAAGCATTTCTTGGCCTTTGCTTTTTCTCTACTTTCCCGAGACAGGAAGCCAGGGGGGCTGGAGGTGGCCACTGGCCCTTCCCCCTGTCAGATGAGGGCCTGGTTAAGTCAGTTCTCTTGGAAGGTAGACTTTTGGTATGGAGGAGAAACAAAGTCGCTTCCCCCCAACCCTACCTGAAGTAGGAGCCCATCTTCACTAGGACATCATGAGGTAAAACCCATGAAAGTGTGGGTCTCCTCCGAGACGGAGCCCCCATGAGTTCTTAACTCTGAAGCTAGTTCGCACTCAACCTGTGCACTTTGTAAAAAATTACCATTTAAGTATTCCTCCCACTGACCGCCTCCAGCAGCTTCTGCGTCAGGTAAGGTTATCTTGGTTATGATTTTCTGTATTTGCCTGTCGCCCCAGATTTCGGGGGTGACTGCCCTATAACCCTAATTCTCTGTGAGTCTAAGAAAATTTGTTGATTTTCAGTTTATTCAGCCTTTTTTCTTGTTTTGAGGACAGGAGTGACCATTTCCAAGCTCTTTACGTGTTGAAGTTGAAACCAGAAGTCAACTCGAAGTTACTATAACTCCGTCTAATTAATTGGTTATCTTTTTATTGTTGAGTTGTAATAGTTCTTTACATATTCTGGATACTTGTCACTTATCAGATACTTTCTCCCATTCTGTGGGTTGCCTTTCCACTTTCTTGATGGTGTCCCTTGAAACACAAATGTTTGTAATTTTGATGGGGTCTAATTTATTTTGTTGTTGTTGCTTATGGTTTTGGCTTCTGAGAAACCATTGCCAAATTCAAGGTCATGAAGATTTATGCCTGTGTTTTCTTCTGAACGTTTTTATGGTTCTAGCTTTTATGTTTAGGTCTTCAACTCATTTTGAGTTAATTTGTGTATGTGATGTGAGGTAGGGCTCCCGCTTCATTCTTTTGCATGTGGACATCCAGTTCTCCCATGTGCCATTTGTTGAAATGACTATTTTTTCTCCATTGAGTTGCTTGGCACTCTTGATGCAAAGCAGTTGACCATAGATGTTTGGGTTTATTTCTGGACACTTGCTTCTGCTCCACTGATCCGTATGTCTCTTCTCTCTTCTCATGCCAGCACCACACAGTCTTGATTACTGTAGCTTTGGAGTGAATTTTGAAATTGGTAAGTGTCCTCAACTTTGTTCTTCTTTTAAAAAGATTGTTTTGGTCATCTGGGTGCCTTGCACTTCCATTCAGCACTCCCAGTTCAGCTTGTCAATCTCTGCAGAGAAGTCTGCGGGTATTTTGATCGGGATTGTGTGAAATCCACAGCACAATTTTTCAGTATTTCTCGAGTCCCATTTCTTTCTTCTAGATTCGATTTCCCTCTTGTTGAATTATCATCCTTTAGTGGTTCGGTAAAGGCCTATAGAAATAGTCTGTTTTTGAAAATGTTTTTGTTTCATCCTTACTCTTGAATGATTCTAATTTCTCTAAAATGGATCTAAAATTCGAGAGTAAAAGTTATTTTCCTTGAATTCTTTGAAGATAGTATTCTATTGTCATTTGGCATCTCTTGTTGCTCATGAGATGTCTATTGTCAGTCTAGTGGCTGGTGTTTTGGTTGGTTTGACTTGATAAAAAATCTGTTTTTTTCTCTGAAAACGTTAAGATTGTCCCCTTGTCCTTGATGTACCACAGATACGCTACAATGCTCCCAGATGTGCATTTGGTTTTTATTAATTCTACTCAGCACTCAGTGAGTTCTTTTAATTTGAGGAATCATATCTTACCTCAGTTCTGAAAAATGTTCCATTTTCTTTTTTAATGGCACTTCTTCCCCATTCTCTATATTATTTTTCAAATATTTCATCAAATTCACCATTATTTTCAGGTAGCTACCACTGAGTGCATCGTTGAGTTTTTAAAACTTTTCCCAGAAATGATGTTTTTCGTGTCTAGAATTTCTGTTCATGCCTCATCCATGCTGCCTGCTCTGTTTTCCTCCTTCCCTGCTCTCTGCCCCATCCTCCCCGTTACCCCGTGAATGTGGTCAGTGTGTTTGTCTGAAACTCCCTTTACCAGTTGTCCATTGTCCTCAGGGCTGGGACCTGCGCTCTGGCAGGTGGGTCTGCCCGTGAGGCGGGGCCTTCAGAGCGCGTGGTTTCCCACGGCAGCCAACCCCCGCGGGACCGTTCTGTGTTTGCCTTTGCTGGGTCCTTACCTGATGCGTGGGACTGTGTGAGGCAAGGGGATTCGGGTTTGTCCGGCGTCTCCCGCAGCTGACTCTGCCCCGGCCCCATGGTTCTGCGGCTGCCCCAGCGCTGCTCACCGCATTCCTCCTCCTGGCTCACGTGCCACTCGTGCCTGGTCCGTGCCCAATGCTCTGTCACTGGCGCTCCAGCCCCAGGGGGTCGCCTCGATCCTCGCTTTCCCTGGCCTCTTGGCGGACTGTGGCCCTGCGGCCCCTTTTCCTTGGAGCTGCGACACCTCCGTCTGCCCGGCCTCCTCTCCTGCTGACCGCTCTCCCTGGGGGTTTGGTCCCTGCTGTCTCTTTGCCCTCAGAGTTCACGTCCGCTCCCCTGGCCTCCCGGCCTGCCCCGTGCTCAGCTTCCTTCTCCAGCCTCTAGTCCTCTGAGCTCCAGACCCGTCTGTCCCACCGGTGCCTCTGTTGGCAAGTCTGACACTTGCCTCAGCCCACGTCCGTGCAGCTCAGCTCTGGGCTGCCCCCTGCCCACGCCTGCTCTCCTCCAGCCCTCCGACCGTGGCCCCGGCCCCTGGGTCATGCGGCCACCCCCGTTCTTCACTCTCGCACCCACTGCCGCCCCCTGGCCGGGGCAGTACGTGCCGAGCCTCCTCCTCCACAGTCGTGGTGCCCCCCACCCCCACCTCCCGCTCCTGCTGCAGGCCCCTGTCCGTCCGCACAGCAGCCGGACTGACCTCCAGCTCTGGTCGCCCTGTGCACGCTGTCCCGTGGCTCCCCATGTTCCTGGCTTGAGGCAGAAGCCCTCCAGCAGGCAGACAGGCCCCCAGCCGCCTGGCGCCTCGTCCCTGCTCACCCTGGCCACATTCTCCCCACTCCAGGGCCTGTGCCTCTCCCTGCTGCCCCTGCAGGCCTGGACGGGCTGGTCTGACGCGGACTCCTGCCACCACCCCCCAGCCCCAGCTCTGCTCTCAGCTGTGGGCTTACAGCCTTGCCTGCCCCTCTGATGACAGTCTGTCTCCAGTGTCACCATCGGTGCTGTTCCAGCTGGGTCCCCAAGGTCCCTGGCCCCCCCGGCAGGGCCCAGCACATAGCTGCCCCCGGAGCCTGTGCTCAGCTTGTCTCGGGGGTGGGTTCTCCCTGAAGAGGGGTTTGTCTCCATCTGCCGTGTCCTCAGGCCCGACCCCAGCCCAATGCAGGGTGTGATATCAAGCACTAGGGAGGAGTCCCGTGGAGGGGAGGGTGGGCAGGTAGAGCAGGGGAGGAGGAGGAGAGATCTTGCTCACACTTCTGCCTTTCTGTGCCGTGGTGGGAGGGCTGGTCTCGGGGTGTCCCCATCCTGGGCCTCCTGGACCTTGAGGTCCCTGTCTGTGCCCCATGGCTGCCCTGGGAGCCCTGGGCATGTGGGGGGGGGCAGTGTGCGGGCAAGTCCTCCTCCCAGGATGTGGGAGGCGTATGGCAGGAGCTGGGGCTGCGTGTCCCCGGCCCTGAGGCCATAGCCAGGCCTATCCCGGAGCTGCAGGGCGGGGGCGCTGGCCGGCATGACCCCCGACCCCCACTTTTCCCACAGCGCGGAAGACGTGGTGGTCCGCGTGCCAGGCAGCCAGCTAACGCTGGGCTACATGGAGGAGCACGGCTTCGCTGAGCCCATCCTCGTCCCCAAGAAAGACGGGCTGGGCCTGGCGGTCCCAGCCCCCACCTTCTATGTCAGCGACGTCGAGAACTATGTGGGTGAGTGGCCTGCTCGCCGAAGGCCCGGCTGGTCCCTGTACCACGTGCTCCCTTCAGTAATTAGACCCCATGTCCCACTAAATGGCATGTGACCCTGGCTGCCCCGCCTCAGTTATTCTGGCTACAAAATGGGGGCTGTCTTGGGGACCCTTTCATTCTGCCAGCTGTGAGGGGCCCCTTCCTCTGAGGTTTGTGCTGTGTCCCCCTCAGCCCCTCCTGGGCCAGCCTGGGGCCCGGCCTCCCTTGTCTGCCCCGGGACCCTTCCTCTCTGGACCCCTCCAGTTCCAGCTGATGCTGTCCTGCCCAGCCTGCCTCGTGTCCCCTGGCCGCTCCTAGCACTGTGGACGCCCTTGTCGGGGCTGCTCCGGGTGGAGGGCAGTGCCTGTGTGTGCTTGGGCATCATCTGTGAGGCCGTCTCCCCCCGGCAGTGATGGGCCCCGTTCTGGGGCCCTCATGGTGGCTGGGGCTCAGGGCGTTCATGGGGATGGCTGGGTGGCCAGTGCAGGAGGAAGGAAGACCCTGAGAGTGCCCAGGGCCCCCCGTGGCAGGGAGAGCGAAGTGACCAGCATCTGGGCCAGGCCACACCCCTGGAGTGATAGCTGGACTCTAGGGCCTGCCTGCCAGGCGTCAGGCACTCCCCACCTGGGAGCCAGTGTCTTCCTGCTGATGGCTCTGACAGACGATGTGAGAACACCATCAAGGCTGGGCCTGCACTCGGCAGCACTGATGGTGCTGATTATTCACCCCAGAGCCCTGCCTCAGTTACCCTAGGGGGCCTGGCACGTGCCTTCCGGGCGGGCCATGTGAATCACACACCGCATTTGGTGTTTGTGCCCCTCGGCCTCTCCCCTTTCCTGAGGTTGTTGGGGGATCAGGGTTGTTGGTCCTAGAACGTCCCACATGGGGTATGTGGCCCCCAGTGTGTCCCGTAACTCGCTCCTGTGCCCCAGTGGTTCCCGCACCGCCCGGGCAGATGCTCGGATTTGCAGTCAGGTGGACAGCGGGACTCCTTTGGGGGTGCAGGCGGTGGCACTCCCGTCTGAGGGCCCGTGGAGCCTGGCCACCCGCCTGAGCGTCTCTGTGTCCACAGCTGGGGTCTGCGTGGCCCCGGCGGACTGTCGGGAAGGACGAGGCCGTGAGTTCTATGCGTCTTTCTCCCACTGCTACTTATGAGTCAGATGGGGCACGCTCGCCGTCGCCAGGTCCTTCGTTATCTGGAACCTCCTGTCACCAGCGATTCTCACCCTGATCTTTTCCTCATCAACTACAGAAAATGCAAGGAAAATGTTTTTACTTTAACTTATCCATTTTCAGAATAAGCTGGTGCCTTAGAAATGTAGTTTTTTTATTTTTTTAAGTTTTAAAACATAAGCACGTCCCAAACATTATTTGGGATGTGCTTAGACTAACAACATATTTGTCGTTTGCTTGTTTTAAGTTCAAGGGTGCCTGCATCTTGTGTTTTTATTCGCCTTCATGGCCGCCCTAGCTGAAGCCCTAGCATGTCAGCAGCCTCCCGCGCCCCGGGACCCTCGCCATGGCCGAGGGAGTGGGTGCGCACAGGTGGACGTCACAGCCCGAGCCTCCGGGTCCGGCCCCACTTGGCAGCCTCCCCGGCACCTCCTGCCCCACTCACTGCCCCCTGCCCTGCCCACAGGCCCAGAGCGGAGCGTGGACGTGACAGATGTCGCCAAGCAGAAGGACTGCAAGATGAAGCTGAAGGAGTTTGTGGATTACTACTACAGCACCAACCGCAAACGGGTTCTCAACCTCACCAGCCTTGAGTTCTCCGACACCAGGTGAGTGCCCGCCAGCCCCGGGGCCGCCGCCTGCTAGCTGCCTGTGAGCCGCCCGCGGTGCCAGCTTGCGGTTTCTCTTCTTATGCATTGTGACAAATTCAAACAAAATAAGCAGCAAAATGCTGACTCCTCCTCCAGCCGGCCCCCGTCCCACTCCCCAGAAAGAGCTCACACTTCACAGCACTCATGCAAACAGCCACACCCACTCACGGTACACACGCTCCCACGTCCCTACACACGCACACATCCGTACCCACTGGCCCACGTGCCTGCACACATCCACAGGTGCACTCTCGAATTCACATCTTCAGCACCGCAGGGTTGTGCTCTGCACCTGCTCTCCGCACCGGGCCCCCCCCCCCCCCCGCCACCCTGCCCCTTCTCAGCCTGAGCTCCGTGTGCCAGGCCTGCCCAGCTTGCTGCTCTTCTCAGGGCGGAGGGTCCAGCATGATGCACCGTGGGTGATGCACTGTGGCTGTCTGGGGCCCACCTAAGTCCAGGCTTCTGTGTCGTCGGAGGCTGGCCCTGCCCCCAGTCTCTGTGCCCCTACTTTCCCAGTACCACGGCTCTGCGGGGCCCCGCCTTTCCTGCCCCTCTGTCAAATCCCTGCTGCTCTCCGGCTGGCCCCTCATGCACCGTAGGGCCTGAGTTGTTGACAATGGTCTAGTTTAAGCGTGGTTTCACTTTTGGAGCCTTTCCATCTTGCATACTTCTGAAAAGCTCAGCACATAGCCAGATAGCTCGTGTGCAGAAGGGTGGGTAGGAAAAAGAGTTTCTGGAAGCCTCATGGAGACAGAGTACAGAGCTGTTCCAGGAGCCCCGACAGGATGTTGTAACTGGATGCTGGGTTCTGTGTGAGCTTCCTGACAGCAAAGACACGAAGGGAAATAAGATGGGTTACGGTGTCGGGAGAAAGCCTCCTCCTGCGAGTTCACGAGAAGGATGTTCTCCCAGGCTGTGTTGTGATGGCGTGTTGCTTTCCTACAGAGTGCACACTCAGGAATGTCGCCATCAGCTTGGTCTGCTGAGCAGCCTGGGGTCTTCACAGAGAGCTGCGGGGTGGCTGCGCTGGGGGGAGTGGGTGCTTTGGCTTGGGGTTTCCCCTTGGGCTTCTCAGGGCCCCCCCTTTGCTGGCAGAAAATGTGTGTGCCTCTGGTGTCCTCAGGCCCAATCCGAGGACCACGGGGGTCATGCACACTCCCTGCTGGGCCGTCGAGCAGCTAGGGCTCTGGACTACACCAGCTGAGAGGCAGGGGGAGGCCTCCACGTAATCAGTGTGGTCTGTCCCCGGGGACGTCGGCTGGGGCTGCAAGGGCTGGGCCTGACCCTACGGGCCATCTGTGGGGGTCTCAGGGTCTGCGGCCTTGGGGATCCTGCAGTGACTCACACGTCCCCTGACCCCAGAGGCACCTGCTGTGACAGATGGAGAGTGATGTGCCTGCTGTCTGTTATGTGGACATACATGGTTACCTCTGCACGTCACCCACGGTGGCCTCAGGTGTCTCGGGGCCTTGGGACACTGCCCCTCCACCCTGGGAGAATGCAGGGAGCAGCTGGTCTTGGCGGCAGGAGAACGGGCTGGCTTTGCACCCGAGGAGCCGTCAAGCAGGGAAAGAAGGACATTTGTGGCCATGTTGGGAAGCCCTGGTGTGTGGTGTGCAGATGGCCCCGGGGCTGCAGGGCTGGGCCCCTCTCCTGTGGCCGTGGAGGGTCTGGGGCCACCAGGGGCCTGGGCTGGTCGAGGAGGGCGCTGGGGAACAGAGAGGGACACCAGCTGGGGACATGCCGGAGAGTTAAAGTTCGCTGAGGTCAGGGTGGCAGGGCCGGGTGTGTGGTCCGTGACTGTCTCGTCCTGTGGGCGTGGCCTTTGGTGCAGAGCCGTGTGGTTCTGCCCCACCTGCGGCAGCGAGGACACTGGGCTGTCACTGCGCGACGGTGATGCAGCCCCGTGCATTTTAGTCAGGACGGTGACATTTCATCGGAAAGGCCACCTTTGCCTTTCCATGTCTACCTTGGAAAGGAGTCCGCTGGCTTGACGGTGACCACCATCCCCCGTGGCCTGCTGTGGAAAGCAGCTGCTTTTCTCCAAGCGATGCCCAGGAGCGCCTGGGCTGTGTGTGAGACGCGCCATTTGCTGCCTGCCTCACCGTGCCCGGCAGCACCCTCCTGGGCCAGCCCGCACAGTCCCTTCCAGTTCTGCAGGAAAGGGCTGTCCCCAGTTCCCTGTGAGAGACTGGTGTTCGATCCTGGCGCGGCCACACCCGGCGGCTGGGCATCTTCTCCCCCTATGAACCTTAGTTTGCTTGTCTGTGGGACGGAGGTGGTGCCACGTGGCCCAGGGTGGACGGGTAGGTGAGAGACATGGCACGTGAGGAGGGATGCGGTCTCGGAGCCCCTTCCTGGTCGGGTGGCCTGGCGGACATCGCCACTGGTGCCCCTCCCCCGCGTCTGCCCCAGGATGTCCAGTTTCGTGGAGCCGCCTGACATCGTCAAGAAGCTGTCGTGGGTGGAGAACTGCTGGCCCGATGACGCGCTGCTGGCCAAGCCCAAGGTGACCAAGTACTGCCTCATCTGTGTGAAGGACAGCTACACCGACTTCCACATCGACTCGGGCGGCGCCTCTGCCTGGTACCATGTGCTCAAGGTAGGCACAGCCGTCTCCATGCACAAGGCCACCTGCGGTCCCCGTGAGCCCAGTGGGGCCAGTGCCCGGCTTCTCCAGGAGGGACGTGGTGTCCGGCCCTTGGAAGGCAGAGGGGTGGGGTGCGTGTCGCGTGTTTCTAAGGAGGGGGAGGCTCCTGAAGCAGTTAAAGGTGGCTCACTGGAGTGGAGCCCAGGGCTCAGCAGTGTGCATGCCCAAAGAGAGGAGCGCAGTGCTGGGAGGACTTCCTGGAAGAGGGGCCTGCCCAGGAGCGGGGGCAGGGCTGAAGGCTCCTGCTAGGGGGCAGGGAGGGGAGCCAGGGGAGAAGGGAGATGTGAAGCCAGACGAACAAGGGGATTGTAAGGAGACCACCAGGGTCTCCCCACACCTGCCTGAGCCCGACGTGGGATGGGCAGCTCAGCTCATGATCCCTGCCCTGGAACCTACAGGGCAGGGCGGCCCAGACCCCAGGGCTCTCAGGAGCAGAGCTTTCCTGACAGTGGGTCCCAGCTTTGCCGCCCCGTGGCTCACTTGTCCCAGTTCACAGACTACGAATAGCAAGGCCCACATGGCGCCACCTTTCGGGGAGGGGACAGTGTTCACGCCAGGACCCTTAGTGTCCGTGGGGTGTGGTGGGCTCTGCCCCCCCCCCCCCAGCGTGCCGGGTCATGGCCTCTCGTTGGCAGGGGGAGAAGATCTTCTATCTCATCAAGCCGGCTTCAGCCAATATCTCCCTCTATGAGCGCTGGCAGTCGGCCGCGAACCACAGCGAGATGTTCTTTGCTGACCAGGTGGATAGATGTTACAAGTGCACCCTCAAGCAGGGCCAGACGCTCTTCATCCCCTCGGGTGAGCACCCCGTCCTGCGGCCCATCGTAACTGCCAGGCTCCCCACCTTTGCCCTTGCCCTGGGGCCTCCTGCTCTGCCGTGACTACAGCATCCGGGGAGTGGGCTCCTGGCCGAGGCTCATGTCTGAGGACGATCTAGGGGTGCGCCCACTCTCCTGGGTTGTGGCAGTTCGGCCTCGGCCCCTCACCCTCTGTGTGGGGGTTGAGGGTGCTGGGCAGCCCGACCTGGGGCAGGCGGGGCCGGTTTCTTCAGTTCCTGGGTTGGTGCCAGGCAGGAATGCCAGCGTGGACACAGGCTCTCCTACCGGGAGGGCCCAGCCACCCCCCACGCGGCGGGAAGGGTGTGTGCGGGCAGCCAGCCAGGGTGGACGGGGGCACCAGGGCAGGCTGGAAGATGCCGAGCTCATGCCGGCTGGGGTCAGGCCAGGCAGCGGCTGCAAGCCTGGCCTGAGAGCGCGCTGAAGGGCTAGCCACGTCCCTGCCTCGCCAGGCTGGATTTACGCCACGCTCACACCTGTGGACTGCCTGGCCTTCGCGGGACATTTCCTCCACAGCCTGAGCGTGGAGATGCAGATGAGGTAGGGCCACACCTGCCCCGGTCCCACCCAGCCGGGGTCCCTGCTGCCAGGCCAGTGTGGTGGCACCCCCCTGAGTTCTGGGCATGCCATTAGCCTCTTCTGTGGTCCTGCCAGGGCCCCTGGGTGACCTGGTTCCTGGACAGCCTCTGTGGCCCTTGGAGGGTGTGGGGTGAGTTGAAAGGCCTCTTCCCGGGCACTGGCCGCGGGGCAGTCATTCGGATGTGGTCCCCTGTTCCACCCAACCACGCGGGGGGGGGGCAGAGTGGCACAGCCTTGGTGTGGCCTTGTCCTGCTGTGACCTGGGCTCACCCTTAGTGTCACTTGCTCGGTGCTGAGTGCCCTGGACAATTGTTTGCTATGGTTTCCAGAGCATACGAAGTGGAAAGGAGGTTGAAACTGGGCAGCCTGACTCAGTTTCCCAACTTTGAAACAGCCTGCTGGTACATGGGGAAGCATCTGCTGGAGGCGTTCAAAGGTACGGGTGTGCAGGTTGGCATCTCTGATGGTGGCTCCAGGTGTCTGGTTTGCATGTGGGGCTCAGGGATGTGGGTATGGGTAATAGCTATGCTTTCGTGCAGCCGGGCGGCCAGACCCTGGGGCGGGCTGAGCTCTGCGGGGCAGCGTGAGGCTGGATGGCGTCCCGTGGGGTTGATGTTTTGGAAAGAATGCTGGGATGTGTGTTCCCGGGCCTGGCATGCATAGCCTCATGTGACTGCTGATGGGGCTCATTCCAGATGTCGAGAGGCCTGGGGGTCCGCCTGGCTCTGGGCTTGCAGCTGAGGGACCCCTGCGGCATCCCTGCCCTCCACCCCCAGCTTTCAAGGGTCAGTGCCCAGCTCCCAGTGGCCGGGCTGCATTCCCCCTGCAGGCTGAAGCCACCTCATCCAGAGCCCTTTGTACACTGGCTCTTGTTTGAGATGGGAAAGCTAAACAGAGAGATCTCGATCTGGCCTGGTCAGGTTTCAGTGAAATTTGTCCATCCCCAAATTCAGATCCCCGAGTTTCACCCTGGCAGAGGGCGTGCCTAGGAGTGAGCCCATGGGGGCTGCCCTGGGGGCTTGTGGCAGGGAGGTGGGATGGGGCAGTGTGGGCAGAGCCAGACCCTGGGGATGGCCTGATGGGATGACCGCTGGCCAGCTGGGTCCGCTCCTCCGTCAGCGGCCCAGAGTAGCAGCCGGTCCCCTGGTGGCTCAGAGGTCTGGCGGCTCTGCCTCTGCAGTGAGCTCCCTGGCCAGAAGGGGGGCACTTGGTCCCTTCTCTGCGGCGCTCACCCAGCCCCCAAGGGCGTTTCAAGAGGCGGTGCTTGTCCCCGTGGCCACAGTGGGAGTCCCAGCTACCACTGCTGGGCAGAGGCCACACGAGGTGTGGGTACACCTGTGGCCCCTCACTAAGGTGGGCCGGGGGACAGGCGGAGGGGACAGGCCCTGTGGGTGGACGGTGGGAGGGCCGGTCCTGCCCCTCACAGGGCATCTTGGACAGGCCCCCGAGGTTCCAAGACGGACCGTTGGCAGTTGGGCAGGTGGCAGTGGGTGGAGGTCCAGCCCTGACCCCGCCCCTGCCCACCGTGTGAGGTAGCCTGCAGGCGGCACACACTCTCCTGACCCAACCCCTCTGCCTCCCACCAGGTTCTCACAAGTCTGGGAAGCAGCTGCCTCCCCATTTAGTCCAAGGAGCTAAAATTCTCAATGGTGCTTTTAGATCATGGACGAAGAAGCAGGTAGGGAGGTGGGCCAGGTTGTCCCTGAGCAGAGGGGAGCGTGGCTGGTGGGGAGCCCTCCCCAGTGCTGGTCCTTCCTTTGCTGGGTGCCCCTTGCCCACCTGTGGCAGGGTGGGGGTGCTGGAAGCAGTTTCTGGCCTGAGGGCTGGGGGCCGGGGGGCCTGGAGAGTCTGTAGGAGGAGGGTGGGTGGTGGAGGTGGCGCTGAGTGCACCTGAGGGGCGGGGGCAGGGTTGGACTCAGGACGGGAGATGAGAAGAGTCTCTTGGCCTCCCTGGCCAGCCTAGGCATCAGCTCCGAAGTGGGCTTCACTCTCTGATGTGGGCCTCCCTTTCCAGTGTGTGCCCCCATTGTGCCCCCTGTAGCAGCATGGCATTTTACCCCCCAAGGTACCCCCGACAGTATGCCCAGTGCCCTCCATGGCCCCCCAGCAGCACTGTCCTGTCCCCCCCAGGGCCCCCCAGCAGCACTGTCCTGTCCCCCCCAGGGCCCCCCAGCAGCACTGTCCTGTCCCCCCCTGCCCAGGGACCCCAGCAGCACTGTCTGGTAACCTCCCAGGGCTGTCCTACAGCCATATCTCCGGCCTCAAGGCCTGGAACCGTGTCTGGTGTATCCCTCCCACCTCGCCTCAGCCACGTGTCCAGGGATAGCGGCTTTGTGGCCAGGAAGGAGGGATGGCCTGCATCCGCTGCCCGGCTGGTGGTGACCTCGGACACCTCGTCCTCTCTGGGACCCCGTTCCTCCCCCTGTGGAGATGGGTGGTGGCAGAGCCCTCTTATGAGTCTGGCTGGGGGCTGACTTGTTCGGGGAGCCAGTCCTTGCCTGCGTCAGCCCTTCCGCTGTGCCTGTCCGGGCTGCCGGGGTCCTGGGTTGGTAGGCAGGAGATGACTTGGAGGGACAGTGTGGGTGAAGCAGGATCCTCGGCGGTCAAGCCTGCCTCGGGGACCCTCTGGGTGGGAAGGGGGTGGGGCAGTGTGGCCTGGACAGGTGGACGTCGGCGCCCGGCCTGGGCAGCTGACCGCCAGCCCTGCGTGTGCTGCCCTTCAGGCTTTGGCAGAGCATGAGGACGAGCTCCCAGAGCACTTCAAACCTTCCCAGCTCATCAAAGACCTCGCCAAAGAGATCCGCCTCAGCGAGGTAGGACTGACCCGGGGGGCCACCAGCCCTGGCCGGGGAACCCTCTGCCTGCCTGGCCCTGGCCCTCCCCATGGCTGTGTGCCAGGGTCAGCCGTGTCTGAGATGGCTCCTCCCCCCAGCCCTCTGGGGCAGGGTCATTGGCTTGATGGGGACTCCGTGGCACCTATGGCTGCCTGTGGCCTCCTGGCTGGAGCTCCCCAAGTGGGTGGGGAGGGGTCTGGAGGGAGGAAAATTCCAGCCGCTGGAGACCCTGCTTGTGTGAACTTGGACTGCCCCCAGCCTCTCCGTGCCATGGGGTAGGATGGCAGTCCCCACCAAGGAGATAGAGGGGTCAGATGGCTGATGGTGTAGACGAATGGCACCTTGTCACATGGGTGCTGTAGATGAATGTGTCACACAGTGGTGTAGATGGATGTGAGCATGTTGCATGGTTGCTGTAGGACAAATGTGTGTCACAGAATGGTATAGACAGATGTGAGCGTGTCACATGATGCTGTGGATGTCAGCATGTCCCATGGGTGGTGTAGATGGATGTGTTGTATGTTGGTGTAGACAGATGTGAGCGTGTCACATGATGGTGTAGGATGTGAATGTGTCACACAGTGTAGACAGATGTGAGCGTGTCACATGATGCTGTGGATGTCAGCATGTCCCATGGGTGGTGTAGATGGATGTGTTGTATGTTGGTGTAGACAAATGTGAGTGTGTCACACAATGGTGTAGACAGATGTGGGAGCATGTCACACGATGCTGTAGGATGTGAGTATGTCACACAGTGGTGTAGACAGATGTGAGCGTGTCACACAACGCTGTAGGATAGATGTCAGCATGTCCCATGGGTGGTGTAGACGGATGTGTTGTATGTTGGTGTAGACAGATGTGTGTCACACGACGGTGTAGACAGATGTGAGTGTGTCACATGATGCTGTGGATGTCAGCATGTCCCATGGGTGGTGTAGATGGATGTGTTGTATGTTGGTGTAGACAGATGTGAGCGTGTCACAGGATGGTGTAGGATGTGAATGTGTCACACAGTGTAGACAGATGTGAGTGTGTCACACGATGGTGTAGGATAGATGTCAGCATGTCCCATGGGTGGTGTAGACGGATGTATTGTATGATGGTGTAAACAGATGTGTGTCACACAATGCTGTAGGCAGATGTGAGCGTGTCACATGATGCTCTAGGATAGATGTCAGCATGTCCCATGGGTGGTGTAGACGGGTGTGTTGTATGTTGATGTAGACAGATGTGTGTCACACGACGGTGTAGACATATGTGAGCATGTCACACAACACTGTAGGATAGATGTCAGCATGTCCCATGGGTGGTGTAGACGGGTGTGTTGTATGTTGATGTAGACAGATGTGTATCACACGACGGTGTAGACAGATGTGTGTCACACAATGGTGTAGACAGATGTGAGCATGTCACACGATGCTGTAGGATAGATGTCAGCATGTCCCATGGGGTGGTGTAGACGGATGTGTTGTATGATGGTGTAGGCAGAGGTCCTGTCTGCTGGAGTGTCTCCCACAGCCTGGGCTGAGGCCCTCCTGGCAGGAGGCGGTTGACCACCTCTCCTTCTCCTTTCCCTAGAATGCCTCCAAGGCCGCCCGACCCGAAGTGACCCCGGCCATCTCCTCAGATGAAGTCTGTTTTGGGGACCGGGAGAAAGAGGAGCCCCCATCCCCTATTGAGGCCAGCCCTCCTCGGTCCTTCCTGGAGAAAGTATCCAAAAAAAAGACTCCCAAAACCGTGAAGATGCCCAAGCCATCCAAAGTTCCCAAGCCCCCCAAGCCCCCCAAACCCCCAAAGCCCCCCAAACCACTGAAGCTCAAGGATGGGGGCAAGAAGAAAGGGAAGAAGTGCAGGGGGGCAGCCTCGCCCACCATCCCCAACCTGGACCTTCTGGAGGCCCATACCAAGGAGGCGCTGACCAAGATCGAGCCTCCCAAGAAAGGCAAGGTGGGTAACCTCACCCTCCTGTCTGCGGGCAGAGGGTCTGCAGACACCTCGGGGGCTGGCCTGTGGGGTGGAGCTGGGGCTGCTGTGTCCTTATGAGGCTCAGGGTAGGTGGGCTGTGCCCCGGTGAGCTTGGTGCAGTGGGGAGGGAGCCTCACGGGGAAGGCAGTGGTGTCTGTGCTGGGATGGGGGTCACCACACAGGGTCACTTGGGGGGATGAGGTGGCTGGGTCCTCCTGGGCCCAGGCATTGGCTGAAATCTGAAGGTGGGTCAGGTGCCCAGTGGAGGGCAGTATGGAGGCAGAAGGGAGACTTATGATGTGGGCAGTTACTTGAGGGGCCTGAGCCCCTACAGGCAGTGAGAGAGGCGGACCTGGCCCTGGGGACCTACCAGTGTGACCAGAGGCCCTTAGGTGTGGGTTTCAGGGACCATGAGCCTGAGACCAAGCCCCATTGAGTGGGAGGTTATTACCCACCTCTTGGGGTGGGGGGTGGTCAGTGACAGCATTACAGGGCTGTAGTGGGACACCTCGGTTTTCCCTTCCTTAAGGCAAAGAGGGTGGTTGAATGAACAGATGAACAGATGGATGGATGGCAGGAAGCGGGGAGAGAGGGAGGAAGTGGGGAGGGTGCATGAATGGGTGGATGGATGGATGGATTGATGGATGGGTGGGTGATGGGTGGATGGGTGGGTGGGTGGATGGATCGATGGATGGGTGGATGGATGG